TGGTTTTTTGAAAAGATCAATAAAATTGACAAACCACTGTCAAATTTAACAAAGGAAAAGAGGGAGAGAATACAAATAACATGAATAGAGGAAAATGGGTAGATGTTTAAGGATAGGCTAGGTTATGTTGCAATAACAACCTCAACAGCTTAGTGGCTTAAAGGGATATTGGTTGCCATCAAGTTCATGCCAACTCATGGTGACCCTGTGTGTGCAGAAAACTGCTCCATATCACCAGGCCTGTCTTCTGAGGTGCCTCTGGGTGGGTTCAACCCACCAATCTTTCAGTTAATAGTCAAGAACGTAACTCTTTGTGCCACCCAAGGAAAAGTTAAAATGACAAAGGTTGAATTGTCCCTTGTGGGCCAGCACCAGGCTCTGCTCATGAGAGTCCCTCATGGAGTAGCCACCATGTCTAACAGATTCACAGGGTCAAGGGGCAGGACCACCAGGGTGTCTTGTATCAGCAATTAAAAACTTTGGCCTGGAAATCACATGGTTCTATCAACCAGGAATGCCAAGGAAGTGCAATATGCCAGACAGGTGAAAGCTGGGGCTACTGGGTGAAGAGTTTGAGGACTTCAGGACGTTTCTCTGTCCCACAGTGAGAACCAGCAGAGCCACACCTTTGCGTAAGACCCAGCAGCAAGCCTCTAGCTGCTGGTGTTATCAGCAGGTATCTCTCTCTGAACCTAAGGCAACTCTCAGCCTGGCTCCCATTCTGGTGTCACTGGTAGGGGTGGGGCCGGCAGAGGAAACCACCAGGTGTGGCCATGGGAAAGTCCCTTCCAACATTCAGTAAAAACATGGAATTTCCTGGTTTTAACCATTTCTTATCCAATTGTCACCTCCGAGCTGACCAGAATTGTGAAGACCTCTCCAGCCTCCTGGGAAATTTGATTTAGGGTATTGAGTCCTGAGTAGGAAGTTGGAAGACATAGGAAGCAGATCACCAGGCCTGTCTTCTGAGGTGCCTCTGGGTGGGTTCAACCAGAGTGGGTTCAATTCTTGGGAAACGTTTTCCAGTTTCCCAAGATGCTATGCATGCTGCCCATGAGTGACAGCAATCTATGAAAGCTCTGGGTGTGCCACCTAGTCCCACAGGCCTGTATCTCCCAGCACCAAGATGGGGTGAGTGTGCAGGGTCCACAGGGGGAGGTGGACTGGAGGAGATTGGCAGCATGGGGACAGCTGTAGGGCAGCCCTCAGCTGGGTGTGGGTGTGTCTGTAGTGGCTTTCCAGGCCCAAAGCCCCCTACCCATACATACCTGGGTTCCAACCCCAGCAATCTCTGAAGATCACAGACAAATTACTGACAGTGTGTGGGCCTCCATACCTGTCTGTAAAATGTTTTCCAGTTCCCCAAGAATATCCAAATATATTGTTTCATGTCATCCATACAACCAGGGAATAAATGTTCCTTCCGAGGTGGTATCTCTACAGACGTAGATTGCTCAGTCTTCCTTCCAAGGAGTGGCTGGTGGCTTTGAACCACCAGCCTTCTGGTTAGCAGTCAAATGTCTTAGGCACTACACCACCAGAGCTCCTGTTTTTTTGTATTGTTTTGTTTTTGTTGTTGTTTTACTTTTTCTCCTCATGCCACAAATGAGAAAACTGGCTGAGAGATCATGTGTTGTGCTCAAGGTTACACCGTCAGCACAATCTGGATCCCAGGACTCTTTCTTGGGCCTCTGCAGGCTCCTTTGGGAAGTAACTTGGATTCCATTTCTCCTGGGTGTGGTCAGGCATAGGCCCTGGTCCTCCCAGGGCTCCGCGGCTCCACTGGGAACCCAGCCTTCCCAGGAGGCTCTCCATTTTGTTAACTGGCCCAACTTGCTCTGATGACTCCCCTGAACTTCCCTACTCCAGTGAAATGTGTGGGGTGGGGGAAATGCCAAAACCACACCCAGCTGCCTGCCCCAGCCACCTGGTCCTCAGCTCCTGACTTCTGTGGCTTAGACTCTGGCCCTATCCCTTCCACTTGGGCACTTGGAGTATCCTTTTTCTCCTTCCTGCTGGGGGCGGGGGCAGTCAGCGGCAGCTGGTCTGCCTCTGTCTCTTTAAGAGAGAGACAGGCAAAATCAGGAAGTGTGAGAAAGCTACTAGCACTCAGAGCAGAGCTGAGTGTTTGGCGGTCAGAGACAGGCAGGAAACCCTTTAGTCCACCTCCTGGCAGTGGCACAAGACTACCTCAACTGGCCTACGGCCACCAGGATGCTATGCATGCTGCCCATGAGTGACAGCAATCTCTGAAAGCTCTGGATGTGCCACCTAGTCCCACAGGCCTGTATCTCCCGGCGCCAAGATGGGGTGAGTGTGCAGGGTCCACGGGGGGGAGGTGGACTGGAGGAGGTTGGCAGCATGGGGACAGCTGCAGGGCAGCCCTCAGCTGGGTGTGGGTGTGTCTGTAGTGGCTTTCCGGGCCCAAAGCCCCCTACCATATCTTTCTGAACTGCTGGGGGCCCCCAGGGGTGCCCTGTGCTTATCCTTGGAAGGGACTGCTTGGAAGCCAGTGAGGGGCAGGGAGATTATGGAAATGAGGAGAGCTGCTGACCACCAACACCACTCCCCTCCTGGGCTCTCCATTTCCAGACACCCTGGAGCCAGTGTTTAGCTTCAGCCTCCGTCGTGTTTCTACTGACCGGCTTCTGGTGTCTCTCCTCCCCTTTCCTGAGGTCTTTCTCCCTTACCTGGAAATGGGATTGGTGAGGAAAGACTCCGGAACAGCTGGTGAGTCGGGCTGGAAACCCCCAGCCCTGGGGAGGGTGACAAACAGGAAAGGGTTAAAGGCTGGGGCCCAAGTCTTTGATGGAAGCAGAGACTCAAACAGCACCACACTGAGGGGTGCCTCTCATGGCCCTCCTCTTTCCGGTGTAGCTCAAACCCTGGACTTGCCACACACAGAGAGCTTAACATACCTTGTTGAGGAAGTCTTTGCCTGATCCAGGGCTGCTCACAGCATCAGGTAAGTGCAGATTTGGCCACAGTAGAGGTTGCCAGAGGCAGTGGTTGGGGTAGGTGGCTCACCTGTCCACCGCCCACCACCCATTCACCCAGCCACTCACTGGATGTCACCGAGCCCTTCTGAGCCCCAGGCTGTGCTGGGGGCTGCACCAGATGTGCCTTGAACTGTCAGTGTGCCAAGCACAACCCTGCAGGAGCAGCACACCACACTGGTTCTCTGCCTTTTGCACCATACTGGGGTCTTTAGCTGTACCCAGCTCCGGAGCCCCTGTTAAGGACAGATGTGGGCAGGATTATGAAAGTGGTGAAATCTGCTGTCCCCCAGCACCGCCGAATGGGCTCTTTGCTTCTGATTTCAGAGTACTCTCTTTCCACCTTACACCTCCACACACCCCCAGGCCCCTTGGCTGATTCCCCCTCAACCTGGAGAGAAGAAACTGGACCCACTCGTTCTTCAGGCCTTTCTGTCATCTTCAGGGAGGTTTCACTACCTTGGTTGCTTCTGTAAAATAGAAACGCTGGTACATTATCTAGTTAGCCTCTGGCTCAAGGAACTGATGTTTCTCAAGGGATTTACATTTTTAAGAAAGGCTGTAGAGAGAGAAGCCTTAAAGGGAAAACAGGATAGCTTTCCAGGCACACTGAGAAACTAGCCTTTAAAAAACCCAAAAACCAAAACCACCGGCACTGAGTTGATTTTGACTCATAGCGAGGCTTACCTGACAGTGTTTAAGGGGTGGTGGCTCTTGCTTGCTTAGGCACTTTTCTCCAGTTATCCCCAAAGGATCAGCACTGGCTCTATTTTTCAAGGAGGCATTTAGTTGAACTTCTCTAGTACTGATTGGTTTAGAGGAACTGGCCCTTGGAAAGAAGAGGATGGGTGCAGGGATGAGGAAGAGAGCTGTAGAGGGGTTTCAGATCCTCTCCACCAATTCAATGGCCTCTTGGCTCTCCTACCACCCCCACACTCACATATGCTCACACACACACTCTCACATGTACACATTCACACACACCAGTGCAAAACACACACACACGCTCATGCTCACACATACATGCACACACACCCATGTGCACATACACACAGTCCCTCACATACATTCTGCAACAGCCCTGGCCCTCTCTGGAGCAGCCCTGACCTGGCTGCCCAAGGAGCAGCTGTTAGCTCACGGCAGCAGGAAGTGGTGGGTCCTGTGAGTGGGGATGAGCTCCAGGCTCATGTTGCAATCCTGGAGATTTGTGGTGGTGTGGTTGATGCTGCCTGACCAGTGGCCCTCCCTCCAACACAATTTCTGCTTCCTGGAAAAATCCCAGGCTCGGGGTGCAAGGAACCTGTAATTCTCAGAACCTAGGAGAATTATAGAGAAAAGAGGCTTGTCTCTGCAGAGTGGCCTGTCTGGGGGGAGGAGGCTGGAGGGGAAATGGGAAGGGGACACAGGCTGAATGTCCTATGGGTGGGCCTCTGGGCTGTGGGCGGGGGCCCTCTTGCTGCTGTGTTGTGCTCTCTTTTGGTGAAATTCCTTCTGTTGGCTTCATACACACACACACCCTTGCCTGTGGAATGGCCTCAAGGAACCCTTTTTGGGGTGGTCCTGGGGCACAGCTACTGATCAGACCACCAGTGTCCCCTCCAGATGTTGATGGACTCCAGGGCCCCCAGCCACACTCTTTTTCTAGGCAAGAGGTGGCTGACCAACAGGAGCAGGAGATGCAGAGCACTGTCAACTACCTGTGGCACACAAATGACCTGCTGGGCCAGGGGGCCACTGCCAGCGTGTACAAGGCCCGCAACAAGGTAGGGTGCAGACCTGACCAGGCTCCCAGTCCCCCACCACCAAACCCAGTTAGTTCTAGACCTGTCAGCCCCCAGCAGGCATCAAAAGTGGACTGTGGCCAGGCCAGGGCCTCTGAACTTTGTTGCATGCTCTGGAATGCAGGGCCACTGTGTGTTCGAGCAGAGGTGTGAGGAGCTAAAAAGGACTGCTTAGGAAGACACCTCTGGCAGGCAATGGTTGGGACTGGGGAGAATGAGATGAAAGCCCAAAGCAAAGTATCCTAGGAAGGTGGCAGCAGATTGACTCTAGGAAGAACAGAGGTGGGAAACAAGACTTGCTTGGATTTATCCTGAAATCTTTGCAGAGCTGTATCAGAATGTACGGCACAATACTCCACTGTCGCATACGTAAGAGCAGGAACCAAACAGGCCTGATTTCAATCCCAGTTCTGCCACTAGCAACAGTGAGAGTTAGCTGCCTTTGCAGTTACTGTCAATAACAATAGTAATAAAAAACCAGTTACGTTGGAGTCAACTCCGACGCATGATGACTGTGTGTGTTAGAGTAGAACTGTGCTCCATAAGGCTTTTTAGTGGCTGATTTTTGGGAAATAGATCACCAGGCCTTTCTTCCAAGGTCCCTCTGGGTGGACTAGAACCTCAGCCATTCAGTTAGCAGCCAAGCAGCTTAACTGCCACACCTGAGGATCCCAACATCCTAATAGTAAAGTTTAACAGCACATCATTGCCTACAGAGTGCCAGGTGTGGCGAGCCCTTGTCACTTCTCAGTGTTGGACCGGCTACCCTCTGAGTACGGGAAGCAGCTGAGGGTGGGTGCTCCAGCCCCGCCCATGCTGTCATTGCTTACCTCTGCTGTCGGGCTGCCTGGAAGGGCTGAACTGAGACGTGGGTGCAAGGGGCTGTTCCCCAAGACAGAAGGGAGACTTGCTATTATTTCCATACTGTCTCCTACTCCTCCCTTTCCCTGATGCAGAAATCTGGGGAGCTGGTGGCTGTGAAGGTCTTCAACAATGCCAGCTACCTTCGACCCCCTGAGGTGCAGATGAGGGAGTTTGAGGTCCTGAGGAAGCTGAGCCACCAGAACATTGTCAAGCTCTTTGCAGTGGAAGAGACGGTGGGTCCAGGGCCTGTTCAGAGGAGGAAAGTCTTGTCCCTGCCCCACAAGCTGGGAAAGTGGGGCACATGACAACAGAGACTTAGTCTCATGTTCGTCAGTGGGTCAGCCAGAGAAAACCACCTGCACCAAAAAGCAGCTGCCAGCAAGTCATTTCTGACTCATGGCGACCTCATGTGTGTCAGAGTAGAGCTGTGCTCCAAGGGTTTACAATGGCTGATTTTTTGGAAGTAGAACACCAGGCCTTTCTTCAAGGCATCTCTGGGTGGACTTGAACCTACAACCTTTTGATTAGCAACCAAGCCCCTTGGTTGTGCAACACTGTTAACTGTTTGTACCACCCAGGCACTCTAAGAGAAGTAAAGAATACCAGGGGGAGGGCAATGCATGGGGAAGGGGCTTAATCAGAGAGGGCTTCCTGGAAAAGGCAATGCTGTGCTCCAGGGTAGAGAATCTGTGTGAGGTGAGGAGGGAAGGCCAGACCAAAAGGTAGGACCTAGGAAATTGGGGGTCTGGGGGCTCTAGGTTGAGCTGCCTCATGTTGACAAGGCTGGATTCTGGCCGACAGGCGTGGTTGGGAGGAAAAGTGGCAACCTGCCAGCCTTGCTCTCTCTGCCCACAGGGGGGCAGTCGGCAGAAGGTGCTGGTGATGGAGTACTGCCCCAGCGGCAGCCTGCTGAGCGTGCTTGAGAGCCCAGAGAACGCCTTTGGGCTGCCTGAGGACGAGTTCCTGGTGGTCCTGCGCTGTGTGGGTGAGCCCTCCCTGAGCCCCACCTCAGACCAGCCATAGGCCCAGACCCTCAGCACAAGGCAAAGTCCCAGAAGGGCGTTCAGATCCGGAAATAAATATGCAAACGGAGAAGAGCACTTGGAACCTCTTAAAGCTCTCTATTACCAGGACTGGGACAAACACTGCTGAAGGGGTGGGACCCAGGTGGCTCACCCTTCGATTTAAAATGCCAGTTTAAGAGGTCTGCTTGTACACCATTGAGAACATAGTAACCTAACGCAACAACGCAATGCACTGCCGAGGAGTTGGATCCAACTCATAGCGACCCCTCCTTGGGTTTCTGAGGTGGTATCACTACAGAAGTAGGTTTCCTAACCTTCCTTCCGAGGAGTGCCTGGTGACTTTGAACCACCAGCCTTCTGGCCTTCAGCACTAGACCACCAGCGTTACTACCAGAGTGTACTAAATGCTTTTGAATTCAAAAAACCAAACTCACTGCCATCATGTCAATTCCAACTCATAGCGACCCCCTTTGGGTTTCTGACACAGTATCTCTACGGAAGTAGATTGCCTAGTCTTCCTTCTGGGGAGTGGCTGGTGGGTTTGAACACCAACCTTCTGGTTAGCAGTCAAGTGCCTTAGGCACTGCCACCAGAGCTCCTTGTTTACTTTATTTTTTTACTTATTTATTTTTTTAATTAGGATTTGGGTGAAGATTTACAGAGTAAATTCACTTTTCATACAGCAGTTCACATATACTTTGTCTCATGTCATTGACCAAAATTTACAATGCAGCAGCTCCCCTCCCACTTCCTCCCCATAGTTACCTCCTCCCAGTGTCCATCCCTTCATACTCTTCGAGAGGCCCATTTTCTGCCAACCCTGTATATGATCTTGGATACACTCTCCATTTAGACATACATAATTGTTTAGCTTGTTCACCCATCTATCCGTCCCTATACCCATATTTGCTTTCATTAACAACTCAGTATTGTATTTACAAAGGGGTTCATATTTGTTGTTTGTACTGCCCATGTAACTCTCTCTGTCTTTCTCATCTTCAATGCTGCCATATTGGTCACTCACATTTGGTACATTGCCCTTCTCTTCACCCAAATCAATATTTATCTCTATCTATCTAACAGCATTCCCTCCCCTTCCCTCCCACCCCTGGTAACCAACAAAGAAAATGTCCTCCAATATATAAACATTTCCTTAACTTTTACAATAACGGACTAATACAATATTTGTCCTTTTGTGACTGACTTATTTCGCTCAGCATAATGTCCTCCAAGTTCATCCACGTTATGCAGTGTTCTGCAGATTCTACATTATTCTTTAGCGTTGCATAGTATTCCATTGTGTGAATGTACCAAAGTTTGGTTATCCATTCCTCAGTTGTTGGACATCTAGGTTGTTTCCAAGTTTTGGCTATTGTAAATAGTGCTGCGATGAACATCGGCGTGCATATATCTGTTCTTGTTATGGCTCTCACTTCTTTAGGGTATATACCTAGTAATGGGATGGCTGGGTCAAATGGTATTTGTATTTCCAACTTTTGAAGGAATCGCCATACTGCTTTCCACAATGGTTGTACCATTTTACAGTCCCACCAGCAGTGTATGAGAGTCCCAATCTCTCCACAACCTCGCCAGCATTTGTTATTTTCTGTCTTGTTGATCCTTGTTTACTTTAAAATGGCCCATTTTATGCTGTATGAATTTATCCTCAATTTTTAAGTAAAAAAGAAAGAAAAAACTCCAACTTAAAAATAAAACAGGATCATAGGTAATGAGTACTTTTCATCTAAGCCAGATTCTTCTCTCTGCAATGAAAGGCCAATTGGTCTCAACCCTTCCTTGATTTCCAAGAGTCCAAATAGGACCTGACACCACAGTGTCCTGGGGACTTTTCTCCTTTGCCCTGTGCCCATCTCTGTGCAGCTGCTTTTCCTGAGGCTCTGTCAGCCCCTAGGTCTCCCTGTCTGTCTATACCTAAAGATGCCTTCCCACCAAGCTGTGCCTCAGGCCCAGATGGTCTCAGCCCAAGCCATTAGCAACCCTTCCTCTGTCTCCAGTGGCTGGCATGAACCACCTGCGGGAGAACGGCATCGTCCACCGTGACATCAAGCCTGGGAACATCATGCGCCTTCTGGGGAGGGAGGGCCAGAGCATCTACAAGCTGACGGACTTCGGGGCTGCCAGGGAGCTGGATGATGATGAGAAGTTTGTCTCTGTCTATGGAACTGAGGAGTACCTGGTAAGTGGGGCCCTGAGGACCGTGTCCCAAGCTGAGGTCCTCCCCTGCAGCTGAGTGCCTCTTGCCTTGGGATTCCTCAGAGACCTCTATGAGGGGTACGGCTCATCCTCCTTCTGACAGATTGAAAAACATCTGATATCTCATCCCCTGTCCTCCAACCAAAAGAATTCATTCTGTTCTCTAAGACTCAGAAGGAGAAGCTTCAGCCTGCCTTGTGCAGTTAACGTCTTGATCTGATACTCACTGAGGATTGGAAACTACTGGTCAACCACTGCACAGGGTGGGCAGATGGAAATACTCTGGAGAGGACACAGGACTCCAATTTTTGAGATTACAAGAGGCCCTTGTTGTTAGTTGTCATCAAAACCAAAAACCCAAAACCCATTGCCATCAAGTCAATTCCAACTCATAGCAACCCCCATTGGGTTTCTGAGGTGGTAAATCTTTAAGGAAGTAGATTGCCCCATCTTCCTTCTGCAGAGCAGTTGGTGGGTTTGAACCACCAACTTTGTGGCTAGCAGTCAGATGCCTTAGGCACTGCGCCGCCAGAGCTCCTAGGTTGTCATCAAGCTGGCGCAAATGGTTTGCACTCAACTGTGAACCTATAAGTTGGTAGTTTGGACCCACCCAGTGGTACCACGGGAGATAGGCCTGGCAATCTGCCTCTGTTAAGATTACCGCCAGGAAGACCCTATGGAGCAATTCTCTGTAACACACAGGGTCTCCATGAGTCACAATCAACTCCACCAGCAACTAACAGCAATAATGCTCATCAGCGCATTGCTCAACACGTGACAGATGGCAGGCTCTATTTTTGAGATTAGAGAAAATGGTTCTGCTTTCACTTGAAGGCAGTGGAAGGGATTCTGATGGGTGGGGCTCAGACCCTTGTCCCCCCCTCACCCTCCATGATCCTCTCTGCTCCTCTCTCCTCAGCATCCAGATATGTATGAGCGGGCAGTCCTTCGCAAGCCCCAGCAGAAGGCGTTTGGGGTGACGGTGGATCTCTGGAGCATTGGGGTGACCCTGTACCATGCAGCCACTGGCAGCCTGCCCTTCATCCCCTTTGGTGGGCCACGGCGCAACAAGGAGATCATGTATGGTGGGCCGCGGGCAGGGAATGACAGGCACAAGCCCAGGCATTCTGGTGGGGACACACCTGGCCCTTCTCTCCCACCAGTCCCTGCTGAATCTCCATAAAGACGTCACTGTCCCTCCTATTCCCCCTCAAACTATGTGGTTCTCCTTTGGTCCAACCTGCCACCCCTACTCTCCCCCTGAGATCCCTTCAGATTCTTTATTACTCAGTCAACCAAGCAGGAAGCAGAACCCTGGCCTTGGCCTGGTGAGTGGCTCATAATCACCCCCTTGTGCCAGTCAGCTTCTCTTTTATCCTCCCCCTTTGCTGCTCACCACATCTCAACTGAGACACCAAAAGTGACTTGCCCAAGGTCACAGAGGCTACCAGGCAAAGATGGGGCAAGAACCCAGCCTTCTGGCCCCAAGTCCTCTGCTATCTGAGTTAGTAGTGGGATAAGTAGTTGGAGACAGTAGTGGCTCTTAGTGAGAACAAGACCTTTTAGATGGGTTAGCAGAAAGCTCAGGGGCCAAGTTGTGTTCAGTGCTCAGTAGCCCTATATTAGGTTTAGGGAAAGGGGAAAGAGACTGGCCTGGACTGGGGTTATCAGGGAAAACTGGACTCTGAAGGGAGCAGGAGGATTTTGGGAGCCAGGAGGAGCTTGGGCGAGATGTGGAGGCAGACTGGGTGTGGCTGTATAGAGATGGGGTAGAGGCAGTGGACAGGGAACAGATCTGTCTGTCAAGCACAGAGAGCTTGACAGGGGAGCACCCCAAGGCAAGGGGGATCTTACAGGAGGAGAGCCAGGATTCTCAAATTCCATTTATTTAGCCTGCCTCATAGTATCTGGGTGACTTTGAACAAGTGCTCTGAGCCCTCCGGGCTTAGTTTGTCATTCCCTTGAAGTATGGGGGGCTGGGAGTCCTGCTAACCAACCCCTGCTTCACTCCAGGTACCGGATCACCACAGAGAAGCCACCTGGAGCCATTGCAGGCACTCAGCGGCGGGAAAACGGGCCCCTGGAGTGGAGCTACACCCTCCCCATCACCTGCCGGCTGTCTATGTGAGTGGGGCCCTGGGAGGTGGGCAGACACAGACCCTCGTCTGTGGAATCACATCTCTGTTGAAAGCCATGGCTTTTGAGGCCTGGTTTATAGGGCTGCTGGCACACTGCAGGTTCAGGCACAACTCATTCCCTTTCTGGGCTCGGTTTTTCAATCTGGATGCTGCAATGAGTTCTTCCAGTTTTCCCCTAACTCCCTGCCACCTTGGTCCTGCCTCCTTAGGATGTCCTTATGGATTACCCCTACTTACTATCTATTCAAGTAAGGTCCCTGGGAGGCATAAGCTGTTTGCACTTGATTCCTAACCAAAAGGTTGATGGTTCCAACCCTCCCAGGGGCACCTTGGAAGAAAGGCCTGGCAATCTACTGCTATAAAAATTACAGTCAAGAACACCCTCTACAGCTCAGTTCTATTTTGTACATGGGGTTGCCATGAATCAGAGTCTACTCAATGGCAATGGGTTGGGTTTGGTGTAGACCTACTCAAGAACAAGTCTGGCTCTGACCCCTGACACTCTCCATGTCCCGGGAGAACAGGGGGCTGCAGAGCCAGCTAGTGCCGATCCTGGCCAACATCCTGGAGGCAGAGCAGGCCAAGTGCTGGGGCTTCGACCAGTTCTTTGCAGAGACCAGTAACATTCTGCAGCGTGTCGTTGTCCATGTCTTCTCGCTATCCCAGGCAGTCCTCCACCACGTCTACATCCATGCCCACAACACGTAAGTGGGGATGTGTGAGGGAAAGCAGGAGAGCCCTTCTCTACTGCAGAGGTGGGGGTGGGGTGAGCAGGGCAGAAGGCCATGTCTAAACCACCATCTCCCAAAGCACATTCTGTGGCATGTTTAGACATAAAATGTTCTGGGTTCAAACTTACTAGTTTGGAAGACTACTGATTCCACCAAGTTAAAGTTATACAGGTTTCCTTACTGCTAAACTTCAGAGATTCAGAGACCTTGACTATGCTAATGAAAACCAAAACCAAAACCAAATCCACTGCCATTGAGTTGATTCTGACTTACAGCAGCTCTATAAGACTGAGTAGAACTGCCCCCATAGGGTTTCCAAGGCTGTAAATCTTTACAGAAGCAGACTGCCTCATTTTTTTTTATGAAGCATCTGATTGGTGGGTTCAAACTGCCGACCTCTTGGTTAGCAGCCAAGAGCTTTAACCACTGTGCCACCTGAGCTCCTTGAGTATGCGTTATAAATCTCCCAGGGAAGTGGGCAGGGGCATTTCCCAAATTAGTTTGCTCATAGAACTCTTTCTTTTCCCCTCAAGCATTTTGTGGGACTAGGTGCTCTCTGGTGGCATAGTGCATAAGGCACTTGACTGCTAACCAGAAGGCTGGTGGTTCAAACCCACCAGCTACTCCTCGGAAGTATACTTCAGTAGAGATACTGCCTTGGAAACCCAAGGAGGGGTCGCTATGAGTCGGATCCGACTCAACGGCATTGAGTTTGGTGTTTTGGTTTAGGTGAATTGTAATGGAATTAAAATGCTATTAAGAGGACACAAAGGTAGAGGCTGGATAGTGGGACCTCTGGGTTCTGTCCCAGTCTGCCTCCATCCACTGAAAGACCTGAAATCTACCCTTTGTCTCTTTACCCTTGATCAAAGAGATAATCATCCCAGTTTCTTCCTCTGAAGAGCTGAGCACTCTCCACTGACAAAGTCTTAGCTGGGGCTTGCTCACCAGACCCTATGTCCCTGCCTGCTGTGACCACCCCATCCCCTCTGTCTCCCATGCATCTAGGATTGCCATCTTTCTGGAGGCTGTGTATGAGCAGACCAACGTGGCTCCCCGGCACCAGGAGTACCTCTTTGAGGGCCACCTCTGTGTCCTCGAGCCAAGCCTTCCAGCCCAGCACATCACCCACACAACTGCAAGCAGCCCCCTGACCCTGTTCAGCATGGCCAGTGAGAACCCCAAGGGGCTGGCCTTCAGGGACCGTGAGTAGGGCTGCCCTTGGCTGGGTCTCTTCTCCTCTTCACACTCTCCTCCAAGAGCAACAGTTTACAACCCAGGGCATTGCGTAGTTCTTTTTGTGGGTCTTGGGCCCACCAGGTGCAGGAGGCAGATCTGATTCTAATTCTGGGTGTGTCTGTGCAGTCCTGTGTGACTTGGGCTTCACAGCATCCTCAGAGTAGTGAAAGAAGCTCCAATTGAAGCAAAGAGATTTGGGTTTAATATGTTCTCCCCAGACTCTACCGCTGGTGGAGAAATCTCAGAGAGTCTGTGTTGGAGTTTGTGTAGGAGCCCAAGCTGCTGGAGAGAAGGGGAGGTAGTTAGGGGTCCAGAGCTCTGACCTTTTGCAAGTTCTAGCAAAACTATCATTCCTTCTCACTTGGGTGATGCCACCGTCTTCCTTCTTGGGGTCTCCAGGACTAGGAAGGGAAATTAACCTTGAAATCCATGGGCAAGAGTGGATTTAGTCCATTTTATGGCTATTGACATGGGGCCTTGGGAAGCAGGATGAAGTTCTGCAACTGAACATTAGGGGGCAGTGAGGGACTACAACTGCAGCATTAAGTGTGCGAGGTTGAGGTTTGGAGAGATTTGGCAGGTGGGGAGCTCTTGTGAGTTTAGAAATTTGAGGTGAAAGATTGGGGCTGAGGGTGGGTGTGAGCTGGTATGAGGAAAGATGGGCTCAGAGTTCATTCAGGACTCTGTCCTCAGACAGTCTTTGTCTGCAGCTGCTCTGGACATCCCCAAGTTCATTCCCAAAGTGGACCTGCAGTCAGATTACAATGCGGCCAAGGTAAGGGGTGGCCTCCGCTGGCAGGGAAGAGGTCCCACAAGGGTAAGGATGGGGAACCTGATCCTGCCCATCTGTGTGTTTCAGGGCATGTTGGGTGCTGGCTATCAGGCCCTGTGGCTTGCACAGGCCCTGCTAGATGGGCAGGAGATGATGCTTCAGGGGCTGTACTGGATGGCGTGAGTACCCTGAGGGCTGGCTACCCAGACCCCCTTCCAAGCCATCCCTGGTGGCAAGGCCACACATATGGTGCCCTTGGTCTGCTGGGAGCAGAGGGGGTCTGACTTGGCTCCCCTTGGGCAGGGAGGTGCTCCAGACCACATGTAGGCGGACGCTGGAGGTCACACGGACAGCCCTCCTCTTCCTCAGCAGCAGCCTAGGCACTGAGAGGTGGGTATCCCACGTAGGGCAGGGAGGTCTCAGCAGGCCGTGAGACTGGCTCCAATCCCTCAGCCCTTCTCTGACCCCTCCCTCAGCCCTTCATGACCCTTCAAAACGTCTGTCTGTCTTAACCCTGCCCTTCCCGACCCAGAGTTCCAATAATGCCCTTGCCCTTCCCGACCCAGAGTTCCTGTCCTCCCTGCCCTGCTAGAACAGGGAGGGCATTCCCACCCCACCCCATACCACCTCAACCCCAAAAATGTCTGCACATACCTCCCCCTACACTGGTATCACCCCTTGGAGTGAAGGCATCTGTAGGGACATCTCCAAGTCCGAGGCAACCTCCTATGAAGGGACCTTTTTCCTATGAGACCCCTTCTTTGAATTTCTAGACTGCTCACCATGCACCAAGCTCCAGAGAAGGACTCTTGGTTCCTTGGACGTATCAGGGGATGGTGACTCTCCATGCTCTTTCTCCCACTTCCTCTCTGGGTCCTCTACCTTCTTGTGATTCCCCTCCCTGCTCCTTGGAGCCCCACACCTCCACTCCTCTGTGGGGCTAATTCAAGGCAATGGAGTATAGAATGGGAGAGACCGGGAAGGAGGAAACCAAGCTGGAGGGTCTGGAGATGAGAAATCCAGGGACAATTCTCAGTATTGAGAAGTGGGCCCAGCCACCCGAGTCCTGGGGGATAGGAGAGGGGCACAAAGGCCCAGGAAAGCTGGCGGGAGCTTTTCCCAATGAGAGGAGATGCATGGTGACAAAGGAGCAGAGACTGTCCCCTCCCTCATGTCCCCTAGAGCCCACCTTGGGAGGTCCAGGGAGTTTCCCAGCACTGGGGTTGACTCACTTCAGCCTTGTTGCCAGACCCCTGCGAGGCACCCAATGCTTATGGTGGCACAGGGGGGGAAGGGACAGTGGAGGAAGGAGAGAGTCTCCAGAAAACAGGGACAGAGTCCTGTCAGGGCTGAGCCCTTTGAAATGGTGATATGAGGGATTGCAGAGAGCTAGCTCTGTCAGCATGGTTGGAGAGTCTTCTCTGAGCAGAGCTCTGTCCAGGGCACAAGTCCAAGGACAGATGTGACATCACCCTGCACAGAGTGGCCTATGCTCCCCTGGAGGGTTTGGGCCACCCTGAGCACCATTTTTGGGCAGGTGAGGGCTGACAGGAGGGTTGCGTATGAGGAGAGTAGAGGTAAGTAGAAGCAATCACTGAGGCCTTCTTGGAAGAGATGAAGCTTTTAAGGCCAGAAGGAGAGAAAATATGTCGTGTGGGAAGGTCTTGTGCAGAGACAGAGAGGAAAGGGCCAGGTCTGTGGGGGAGGGGGGTTGCTGGTGAGGTTTGCTGAAGCCACAGTCATGATGGAAAATATCCCAGAGCTAGAGTGTGTGGAGGGATAGAGAGAAGGGAAAACTCATGGAGTCTCAGAGGCTGCAGTTGGGAAGCTAAAAACCAGTTGCTGTTGGGTTGGTTCTAACTTGTGGTGACTCCGTGTGTCAGAGCAGACTGTGCTCCATAGGAGTTTCACTGGCTGGTTCTTTTTTGGAAGCAGATTGCCAGGTCTTTCTTCTGAGGTGCCTCTGGGTAGACTCCAATCTGCAGTCTTTCATTTAGCAGCCTACCATGTTAACCATTTGCACTGCCCACAGTGGCAAAAACCAAAACCACTGCCGTTGCGTCAATTCCAAGTCATAGCAACCCTAAAGGACACAGTAGAACTGCCCCCATAGGGTTTCCAAGGCTGTAAATCTTTACAGAAGCAGACTGCTTCATCTTTCTCCTGCAGAGCAGCTGGTAGATTCGTACCACCAACCTTTCAGTTAGCAGTCAAGTTCTTTAACCAGTGTACCACCCTCTGTTGGGAGGTTATACCCCAATAAAATTACCCACAGGGAGCCACTGTAAGTACTAGAGCAGGAAGGAGATGTGTGGAGAATGCATTCCAGGTGTTTGTCCCCCACTTTCCCTGTACCGACTGGAACATGGAGAATGACAGGATCACCTCAGTCTGGAATCCTTGTGTCTCTCGGTTGTTCACCACCTCCTGGCTCCTAGTGTCTGCAGGGCTCAGGGCTCAGTGAGTGCCTGCTTTGAAGCATGTCAACCTCCCCTCAACGAGGAGTACCTAGAGCATGAGGGCTGGGGCTGAACTCTTTGCTAACTCCCAGGGTGTTACTGGGCCATCATCACCTTCCCTAGCTGGGCCTCTGCTTCCTCATTTTGACAATGAGAGGGGTGGATGGTCCCTAAGTCCTCCCAGCTCTGATATTTTGCAATCCCTTTCCTGTCTTGGCATAGTGTCTAAGGCATTTGACTGCTAACCAGAAGGTTGGCAGTTTAAACCCACCAGCCACTCTGCAGAAGGCATACTGAGCAATCTGCTTCCATAAAGATTTACTGCTTTGAAAACCCAAAGGGGGTCGCTATAAGTTGGAATTAACTCAATGGCAGAGAGTTTGGTTTTTAGTGTTTTTGTTTGTTTGTTTGTTTCCTGTCTGAACATCCTCAGACCTGTTCGTTCTTCCAAGGGCTGAAACCACTAGCTGTTCCCACACTGGAATGTCAGCTGTTTTAAAGGAAGTAAATTTCACACTGGGAGAAGCTCAAGTGCCTGGCACAAGTGGCCCTCCAGTGCCAGCCTGCTGGCTCACCTCTCCTTTCACAGAACTTTTCTCACTGCCTCAGGTTCCCCCAGATAGGTTCCCTTGGCAGGGCATCCTTGCCTTTACCCAGAAGCTCCCTGGATTCCCTTGGCAGGAGTACCAGAGGCTGTTCTCACCCACCACCAACAGAAGTGTGTGTTCCCATAAATATGTTCTCTTATCCACCCATTTATGAACAGCTTTCATCCTGTGGTCCTATCCTATTTGATCCCCACAGACACCTTCTTAGCGACTAAGAAGGAAATTTTTCTTTCCATTTTATAGATGAAAAGCCTGAGGCTTGAAGGGCTAAAATGATTACCCAACACAGCATATGGCAACCAGGACTCAAATCCCTGTCCCCTGACCCCCTGTCCACTTGGGTTGGTTCATCCTCATCCTGTTGATCGATGATGCCATGCCCTGCAATTCACCCATGTGCTCGGAATTCATCCAACAATCATGGGTTGAGTAACTTCTTGTTAATTGCCTTCAAGTTGTCTCTGATTCATGGTGGCCTTATGTGTAACCTGCAAAACAAAGATGAGGCAGTCTGCTTTGGTAAAGATTTACAGCCTTGGAAACCTAGTAGGGGTTGCTGTGAGTTGGAATTGACTTGATGACAGTTTGGTTTTTGGTCTCACATAGAACGGAACAAAACACTGCCCAGTCCCGCACCATCCGCATCATCACTGGTCTGTTTGAGCCCATTTTTGTGGCTATTGTGTTAATCAACCTCGTTGAGGGATTCCCATGTTTATGCTGACCCTCTACCAAACATGATATCTCTTCAGGTCACCTAGTGTCTCTGACAAGAATATACCACAAATGGGAAGGCCTTAACAAACAGGAGTTTTTTCTCTCACAGTTTGGAGGTTTTAAGTCCAAATTCAAAGTGCCAGGCTCTAGGGGCTGGGTGAAAGCCCCTCAACCTTGGGCTTCAGCTTTGCCTCTTGCTCTTGGCCCACTGAAACTAGAGGCATCTCTTCACTCAGGCAGTTACTGGCTGCTGAAGCTAACAAGCCCAAGGTCGACAAATAAAAAGGCACAGTCCTGATGTTACCAAACCATAGGGCAGGCCATTAATTTAAGTCCGTTGTAAGTCCCAAGGTCAGCGGAGCATAGCAGGCTGCTGAGCAATGACAAGGCTACATACAAGGTCCAAGCGGGTCATAAACTAGAGATATCCCCAAGGTTTCTCCTTATATACAGGAAGCAGACCACATCCCAAAGGCAGCTACTCAGCTGCTTCTGGTAGATCCCACCATGGAGTTGATTGGGAAATCAACTACCACCAGCTGTCCAGCCACTCAACAAGGCCCAGCCAAGCTGACATACAAATTCAACTACCACAATGTCCTTTTCAACTGTTGGGCAACCACTACACTCTAAGCCCTTTCCTAGACATTGCAGACAAAATGGTTAGCCAAGCAGGCATTGTCCCTGCCTTCATGAAGCTTCCAGGTCATTCCTAATTCTCTCTTTGCTCGCTTCCTCTTTCCTCTTTGGCCCTCTGTTCCCAAGCCAAAATATGCAAGACTCTTTTTCCCTTATATTATTAAAGGACAGTATATGCTAATGACAGAAAGTTAGAAATACAGATAAGGAGAACTAAGAAAATAAAAATACCATAACCTACCTCCCACAGATTACCTACTAATTGCTAATACTTAGTGTATATATACAGAGAGAGCTCTGGTGGTGCTGTGGTTAAAGCATTGGGCTGTTGACTGAAAGGTCAGTGGTTTGAACCCACTCGCTGCTCCGTGGGAAAAAGAGGAGGCAGTCTGCTTCCATAAAGGTTTACAGCCTTGAAAACCCTATGGGGCAGTTCTATTCTATCCTATAGGGTATGAGTTGGAATGGACTCTGGCATTTATTTTTAATATATCCTTCCAAATAGTTTTCTGCTGTATGTATATCTGTATAGATATTAAGCAAAGTAAGATTAAGCTGTACTTGCTGGCTAATGAGTGCTCCCTCTCTATGTCAATACATTTTCATCTCATCTGGTAACCGTCCATATTCAAATGACTCTACTTATCCCAAAAATGTCCTTTTATCACTGGTTTCATCCAACCAAACCAAACCAAACTCACTGCCATCAAGTTAATTCCAACTCAGAGCTACCCTCATTGGGTTCCCAAGGCTGTAAATCTTTACAGAAGCAGACTGCCTCATCTCTCTTCCATGGAATGGCTAGTAGGTTCGAACCACCTTTGGGTTAGCAGCGAAATGCCTTAACCACTACACCACCAGAGATCCTTGGCTTCATCCAAACCAAGACCAATCCAGGACCACAGTTGGAATCTGGTTGTTATATTCCTTAAGCATATTTTAATCCAGCACAGATTCCCTGTCCTCCCCCCTTTTATCATGACACTGCCTTATTGAATGGGCCACATCCATTGTCCTTCCTTCTGGACTTGTCTGGTGGGTGATGTTCTTTGGCTTGTTTCTCTTTCCTGACATCTACTATAAGCCAGGAGTTCTAAAGGCTGGGTGGATTCTGGCTAATCATTTTTGGCTAGACTGTGTCACCAGTGATGCCAGGTACTTCACACTGATCTGCCATTGGGTGGGGGCAGCCTGATTCCTCTACTGTGTGGTTGCATTTTCCCTGTAAAGAAAGAATCAGTGAGGCGGTCCATGGGAATCACACCATCATTTGTCCTTTAATCATTCATTGTTGATTTTAACACCACACCTAAGTGTATCATTTCCTTGGGTCAGCAGGTTGCTCATGTCCCAGTCCTGCCACACTGTGGCTGATATTCATCTCTAAAATACAGCTTTTCCCTCATTGGCAAACTACTGGTTATCAAAAAATGCAGTTCCTACTGGAAAGGAGCTTAATTCTTTCTCTTTAGTTACCAATTTTCTAGGTGAGGAGGTCATTAGTAGCTGCCTGTGTCATTATTAAGGTAGAGGTATTGGGTGGCACAAACAGTTTGTACTCAACTCTTAACTGAAAGGTTGGCAGTTCAAACCTACCCATAGTGCTACAGAAGATGGGTCTTGACAACCTACTTCTGTAAAGATTACAACCAAGGAAACCCTGTGAAGAAGTTCTACTCTGTAATACTCTGTAATACTCCAAGAGTTGGAATGGACTCTCTATGACAGCATGTTTGTTTTTGTTGGCATCATTATGGACTTGTGAATTTCATAGATTCAAGCTATTCCAGTCCACTTCAGTCTTCATTCTCTTTAATGCTCAACAAGGGCCACAATCTTGGTGAGCAGTGGCCTCTTCAGGATGGTTCCTATGTCCCACCATGACATACTCCAGAGACACCACCCCAAAAGATGCCACACTCAGTGTGTGTCACCAGTAGCTCTCTGCCTGTCACCTCCACTGTCTCCTAACTGGGGCAGCCTTTCACCCCCCTCACATTTCTCCTTCCTTCCCTCAAGGTACACCAGTGTGGCTGGGAGGCCTGAGATCCAGGAGCTGAACAGGGCCACAGAGCTGAGGTCCAGGCTGCGAACTGTGAGTAAGGCTGTGGGTGGATATGGGAGGGTAGGTGTGAGATAGGTGGGTGAGTGGGTGAGTGGGAATGTGGCAGAGGAGTAATAAGTGGGGAGTGTGTGGGGAGGGTATAGAGAGGCTCGGGTGTGCATGTGGGAGTGAATGTGGGGGGTGTATATATATGTGGGAGGGTGGTAGGACAGGGTGTGGGTGTGAGCGGTGACCCTTGTCAGGAGCAGAGCTGTGGTGGGGGCAGTTATCCAGCCAGGCTGCCCTTCAGAGCCTTGTACTGAGGACCCCACGGGGGCTGTCCTGCCTTATAGCTGGCTGAGGTCCTCTCCAGATGTTCCCAAAATATCACAGAGACCCAGATGAGCCTGAGAAACCTGAGCTCAGAGCTGGCGAAGAACCGGGATCAGGTACATGAGGACAGAAGGTCTGTGGGATTTCCTTTTTTGTGGGGTGGGGGTGGGACATGGACTGCTCCAAAGACCCAGTAGCCTTTTTGGGAAGAAACCTGCTCTCTCCTGTATTGAGTCAAGGGTTTGGGGCACAGGTGGTGGTGGTGAGGGGGACTCAGGAACAAGCAAGACCCTCCTGTGACTGGCCACAGGGAGAAAAGGATTGGGGAGGCTGCTCTTCCTTGGGAGTTTGGAGAGCAAGTTAGGACTCTGAGCAGGTACAAGAGTTCTGAATAAAAGAATAGTTGTGTTTCCTTTCTCTTCTGAGTCAAGGCCAAGGGCTCTGCTTCAGTGTCCTGAAGAGGTCTTTTCATTTACATCATTTCAAAACCAAACCAAACTCAGTGCAATGGAGTCGATCCTGACTCATAGCAATCCCTCCTTGGGTTTCGAGGTGGTATCTCTACGGAAGTAGATTGCCCAGTCTTTCTTCTGCTGAGTGGCTGGTGGGTTTGAACCACCAGCCTTCTGGTTAGCAGTTAAGTGCCTTAGGCACTAGGCCACCAAAGCTCCTTTATATCATTTAGTCCTTCAAATAGCGATAGTGCTCCTATCATGCCGTTTTATACATGAGGAAGCTCCCTCAGGGAGGTTAATTTACCCTGAGTCACAACCAGTAAGTGTCAAGGATAGAGACAGGGCTTCAGGTCCTCTCTGCCCATCTCCAAAGCCCATGCTTCTGGCCACCAATAATTTACAACCTGTCAAACTCCATTCTCTAGGCCAATTTGTAAAGACCACAAGTAAATTTGAGGTGATCAGAAGCTGAGGGAAGGGGGGAACAGGAGCTGATGCTTAGTGGGTCCAGAGTTTCTGTTTTGGGGTGATAGTTTTGGAAATAGTGGTGATAGCTGTATAATATTATACTGTACAATTATAATTGTATAATACAATACTAAGAATATAATTAATGCCACTGGATTGTATACTTATAAATGGTTAAAATGGAAACAATGGGAGAAAAACCCATCCTCCTTTTAAAGAAATATAAAAAAGCCCCTCCACCCTCAAGTCTGCTGTGTGTCTCCCCTTGACCTGCATGGGGCAGAGAGACACTGCCTTCCTTGGCCCTGCTCTGACCAGGAGTGAGTGGGTACCCTCTGGGAAACCACCCCCTAGTACTTCATACCCTCAGCTCCTATACATAAACCTGTGTCCTCAACTGGAAATTTAAAAGGCAAATTTCTCTGTAATCACAAATTTGGCTGCAAAACTTGACCTAAACTGGTATGAGGCTCTTAAAGAGATAGACAGCTGCCATTGAGTGGACTTTGACTCACTGTGGGATCTGATGTGCAACAGAAGAAACGTTGCCTGGTCCTGTAATATCCTCATGATCACTGGCTTATTCATTAGCTCATGTGCTAATCCATCTCATTGAAGTGGCCTCACCCTTACTGCCCCTTTATTTCCCAAACATGATGTCCTCCTCTAGTGATTGACATCCCTGATGATAGTTTTCAAAGCAAACAAGCTGGACAGATATTTTCTTGTGATCCATAAGGTTTGCACTGGCTATAACAACAACAACAACAGTTTTCAGAAGTAGGTTGCCAGGCTTTTCTTCCTAGTCTGTCTTAGTCTGGAAGCTCCATTAAAACCTGTCTACCATGGGTGATCCTGCTGGTATTTGAAATATTGGTAGCATAGCTTCCAGTACCATACAAGCCACCACAATATGACAAAGGGGCAGATGGGTGGTGGAAGGCTTTTATAGTTTTATCTGTCCCACTTAAGGTTCTCCGAATACATGACTGTATTTGACTTTGAAGGGCTGTTTCAGACTTGCTAGGGGTGTTCTGCAGCACACTGTATGTGTACTGAGTGACCTTTTCAAAATTCAGAAAACAACTCTGACTTCTAAATACCAAGCATTTTGGATAAAGACTGTGAACCTGTGGTCTTGTTCCAACCTCCTCTTCCACACCCTATGTTCTCAGGAGGCCAAGCTTTCTAGGGCCAGCTCTCACTCTGCTGAGAGTCCCAGCTCCACAAGTGGCTGAGGTGGGTCCTGGGAGGAGCATGGGGAGGAAGTGGAGCTCGATAGGCCCAAGGGTGAGGAACAGCCCACATACACACACCCAGTCTCTCAAGCAAGTGTTTGTTTCCTGTCTGAAAAGGGTAATGGGAAACAATAATGACCTTAAACCACAGGCTGAAAGGTCCTTGAGAGGACACTTCTCTTTCCCTCCTTTCCCCCTCTTGTTTGAAACAAGAATCTTTGATTCATTCTTGTTCTAAACAAGGATTGTTGATTCATTCTTTATTCATTTTAAGTTCATTCCATGTGCCAGGCATTGGGTATACTAGGAAGGCACTACTCTGCCATCCACAGGTGACCAGAAAAGAGACTTCTATTCCATTCTCGCTGGGCCCTCGCTGCCAGTCTCTCTTGATTGGGTCCAGAGGGGCCCGAGCTGCTTCTAGGTTCTAGCCTCAGGCCTTCTGGCTGTGGCATTGGCCAATTTCCTGATACCTCTCCTGGTTGGTAGCTTTATTTATCTCACCCTTACTAAATGCATGGGATGTTTGTGTGTGTGTGTGTGCGTGTGCATGTGTGTGTGTGAGAGAGAGAGAGAAAGACAGAGAGACAGACAGGCAGATAAACAGTGAGTGAATGAATAAATATGAATGACAGGATGGCTTTTGGCTGGCTCCAAGGTGCCTCAAATAAGCTTAGAGACATGACAGTCACTCCTGCTCCCAGACTTGCCCCCAAAGCTGTGGCCCTGAGGCTCTGCCCTCTACTCACCTCAGTTCTCTTATCCTTTACTTCCTGCCCTTTACTTCCTCTCATCACCTGTCCCCTTGTCTCTTGCCCACAGCATCCAACAGATTCAGTGTTGTTTGGACAAGATGCACCTCATCTACAAACAGTTCAAGAAATCCAGGATGAGGCCAGGTAAGCTGTGGGGAGAGCACCTCATGCATGCCTTCCTCCTCTTCTTTCTTCCTTCCTTCTGGTCACTCCTTAGTACTCCATCTAGTCCTGTTGGGGGCCTATATGCAGATAGTGCTCTGTGGAGGCCAGGGGGCAGCTGGTATCAGGCAGGGTCTTGCAGAGTAATCTGTGATGTGAAGCCCTTACGTCTGGATGTGTTGCCACATGAGAGGCTTAGATGACATGGGTTGGGGAAGCAATGGTTTGGGTGCTATGGAAGTGCTGGCCTTTGACAGAGACCTCTCACCTTTGCAGGGTACTTTACAGAGGGATTGTGAGAGATACCACTTAGAGTCACTGGGCCAGGAGCTTCCCTGTGTTATCTCCTAATCCTCACATGGACCCTCTGGGGAGGCCAGCTCCTTTCATAGCCATGGGGATGGAAAGCCACTTGCCCCAGATGACTTCCATCCTAGGGCAGGGACAGCATCAAACCCACGGAAGGGCTGATGATGGGAACTGAGGGCCCTATTATATCTTGAGGTTGGGAAGCAAGCACACCAAAAACAGACCCTCTCTCCCTATCCTGCCCCCACATACTTCCTAATCTGTAGACTGAAGGTCTTGGGCTTGACTGTTAAATTCTCTTCTATCCTAAGATTATCTTAGAAGCACTTGCCCCATAAAAAGATAATGTGAGCCACATGTGTAATTTTAAGTCTTCTAGTGGCCAAATTTTAAGATGAATTAAGGAGCTCTGATGGTGTAGTGGTTAAGGCATTTGGCTGCTAACCCAAAGGTCAGTGGTTCAAATCAACTAGCCACGCCACAGAAGAAAGATGAGGCAGTCTGTTTCTATAGAGATTTACAGCCTTGGAAACACAATGGATTTTGCTGTGAGTCAGAAGTGACTCCATGGCAGTGAGTTTAGTTTTCTGGAGTAGCCAAATTTTAAAAAGTAAAAGAAACAGGTGAAATTAATTGTAATATGTATCTTAATTCAACCCTTTTATCCAAAATGTAATTTCAACATGTGATCAATATAAACAAGATTATTAAAGATTTATTTTACTTTTCTTGTCCTAAATTTACAAACTCCTGTGTGCATCTCTATTTGAATGCTAAACTTGGAATAAAGTGAAATTTAGTCTTACCAAAACAATCAAGTTGTTTTAATGCAAAATTATTTTATACTGCTTCACTTCTTATAAACTTAAATTATTTAAATTAAAGTTAAATGTTAGTTCCTCAGTCGCACTAGTGATATTTCAAGGGCTTAGTAGCCACAGGAGCCCAGTGGTCACAGAATTGGGCAGTGCAGTTCTAGAAGATAATCTTCCTTCTAAGGAGCTCTGGTGGTTTAGTGGATAAGGCATCTGGCTGCTAACCAGAAGGTCAGTGGTTCAAACCCACCAGCCTCTCTGTGGAAGGAAGCTCTTTACTTCTGTAAAGATTTACAGTGTTGGAAACCCACTGGGGGTTGTTGTGAGTTGGAATCAACTCAATGGCAGTGAGTTTGATTTTTTTGGTTCCAGCATCCTCAGTCCTGCCTCTGAGTTCAGCATTGGAGGCTATAGGCTGGAGATGTGGGGTGGGTACCACAGGAGATGGAAAAGGAAAACTCTCCTGTTTGGTGGGGTGTGGGCTCAGCAAGGGAGGCCTTCTACCCAACTGGCCACCTTAGCTATGATTTTAGGAGAATCTCAGAGCTTTTTCTGCTTCTGCTGCTGGACTTCATAATAGTATAATCACAAACTTCTGAACACCTCTTATGTCTTGTCCATTTCTTTATTTAATGCTCATAAAAACCCTAGACACTATTACCAGATGCCCCTGGAGTCAACTGATGGTGACCTCATGTGTGTCAGAATAGAACTGTTCAAATCCACAGGGTTTTCAATGGCTGATTTTTCAGAAGTAGATCACCAGGCCTTTCTTCTAAGGCACCTTTGGGTGGACTTGAACCACCAACCTTTCAGTTAGCAGCCCAGTGCATGGACTATCGGTACCACCCAAGCATACTTGCTCCCTTCATTTTATAGAGGGAACTAAGTAAGACACAGAAAGGTTAAGCAACTTATCCAAGGGTACACATCTTTACATGCACAGCTGGAATTCAAACTCAGGCAACCTACATCCAACTGCTTTTTAACAACCACATTTTACACCCTCAGAAGGGCTTCATTTCTTTTGGTCTTCAAGAATCCTTTTGAAAGATTTAATAAAAATTTTTTTTTCATAAATCAGGGAGAATAACCCTTAACTGCTAACACCTGGGGTGTTCAAAGATACCATTCTGAGAACTAGCAGTTTTCTGGGCTTTATCTTCACAGGAGCCTTTTGTGGTTTATATGTGGTATGAGGAACCAGGCTCAGTGAGGTGGAATGACTTGCCTAAAAACCAGAAAAACCAAACTCACTACTGTTAAGTCAATTCTGATTCATAGCGACCCCCATTGGGTTTCTGAGGCTGTAAATCTTTATGGAAGTAGATTGCCCCATCTTCCTTCTGTGGAGCAGCTGGTGGGTTTGAACCTCTGAACTTCTAGTTAGCAGCTAAATGCCTTATCCACTTCCTCACCAGAACTCTTTAATGACTTGCCTAGCAGTCAAAAACACAGTTGTGGGTTGAGTCTACTCAGACTTACGGCGTCAGAGAGTGAAACTGCACTAGTTTTTCAAAAGGAGATTGCCAGACCTGTTTTCCAAGGTGCTTCTGGCTAGACTCAAACTTCTAGCTTTTTGGTTAGCAGCTGAGGTGTTTTCAATGACTGATAGCACCACTCAGGGACTCCAAAACCAAAAAACCAGATTCACTGCCATCAACTTGAATCTGACTCATAGCAACACCCGTTGGGTTTCCAAGGCTGGAAATTCTTACAGAAGTGGATTGCCCCATCTTCCTTCCATGGAGCAGCTAGTGGGTTCGAACCACTGACCTTCTGGGTAGCAGCCCAATGCCTTATCTGCTACACCACCAGAATGCTTTTAGGGACTGTGGTAATAAGAGGCAGGGCTAGGACTTGTCCCAGATCTCTTGGATTTCACAAGTGTTCTCAGCTAGCCAAGTGCAGGCCCAGGACAAGAAGCCCAAGAAGAGGACCTACTGTGTTTGGAGTAGAGGTGAGAGGCCAGCAAGGCAAACCTCTTACATCACTTCACGTTAGGGTTGCCACTAACTCAGAGGCCATTCCCCCAAAGCCCAGGAGGGGGCAACATCTCCCTAGAGCAGTGAATTTAAGGCAGAATTTGCTAAAAAGTTCAGAAAGCAGGAATGTGTGGGAAAGGAGGACACCGGGAAAGGGTAACTACAGGGAGGAAGTAAGAAGAGAGCTATTACATTGTGGGGATTTCTATCAGTGTCTCAAAACAAAATGTGTATGAACTGTTGAATGGAAAATGAATTTGCTCAGTAAACTTTCACACAAATCACAATAAAAAGTTTAAAGATAAATACATACATACATACATACATACCCTTCAGGAAGCAGCCAAGGCAGTGAAAACTCCAGCCCTCATTCACTACTGGACCAGTAATCTTCCTGTTCCTTCTGGCAAAAGTGGCTGAGCTGAGAAGAGGAGGGTCGAGGGGGATGACCTAGCTTATTTAGCTCATTGCTGAGAGCCCCCACCTGACTCTACCTGCAGGATGAGTATTCAGGGATGAGACCAACCAGCTATAGGCATCAGTCTCCTTGGGAAGGTATGTTGGATGAGGATGCATCCAAGCTGCTGACCAAGCATCCATCAAGGGATGCACGATACTCTTCCTCCACTTCCCACTTGAAGCCTTCCCTGATTACCACCTCTCACCCTGACCCTCTGTGCTACAGGTTTCCTTCCTCTGAGCCCCAGAGCAATTTCTCTGCATCTTCTTTAGTTTTCTCCTTCAGTAATGCAATTACTTGGGTAATTGTTTCATTCCTTCTGGCCTCTGGGTGGAGCTAGCTGGCAACGCCATGGTTAATGTGCTCAGCTGCTAACTGAAAGGTTGTCCATTGGAGTCCACCCATATGCACCTTGGTCAAAAGGCCTGACAATTTACTTCTGAAAAATCAGCCACTGAAAACCCTATGGAGTACAATTCTACCCTGACACACACGGGATCACCATGAGTTGGAACCAACTCTACTGACATTAGTTAGCCCTCCTGGCTCACCTTGGCTGTGAGAGCCTCTGGAGCAGGGCCCTGGCTGGACTGTCTTCATCTGCTTCCCTGTCCTCCACCCCCAAGTGCTCAGCACAGGCCCTACCCTTGCGGCACTCCATTTTATTGATTGATGAAGTAGCACCATTCCTGTTTCCTTCAGGGCTTGGCTACAACGAGGAGCAGATCCACAAGCTGGATAAGTGAGTGGTTTGGGTAGGTGGGTGGGCAGGAGGGTGGTGCCACCAGGGCAGTGCCATCCTCCAAGCCAGACAAGAGGTGGTGAAGGTCCCTGACCCCAGGCTGTGGCTGGCAGAGAGGAGAGTGGGGCGAGTTGGCAGCTGGGATAACTGTCTACGGGATAGGTTCCCTGGCAGGGAGGAGGGGCATTGCATGATGAGTTGAAGGGAGGCAGCTCAGAGGTAACTCTGATGTGATTGGATTTACTTCTGATATGAGCAAGATGGTTTGTGGGATTTCTTTCCTTAACTGTCCTCTCTGATTTATCACTCATCACTTCCTGCCTCTGCTTGATCCTTCCTTTGAGCTTCTTGCTACTCCTCTGTTTCAACTCTCATCTTCCAGAGGCCTCCCACTGGAGTTGCTATAGTCTACACTCACCACCAGCCCCTACACACACACACACATACATGCTCTCTCTCTCTCTCTCTCTCTCTCTCCATAGTCTCTCCCTCCTTTCCCTCTGAGGACTAAGCTTGAGAATACGAATGTTTCCTGAAGTCCTGAGCCCTCCCTATCTCCATTCCTCTGTTGATGTGTGTACTTTGCCAGCTCCTCTGGTCTTCATGCTTCATGTATGTGAATATTGTCATGCATCTGAATATTATCATGGATGTGAATATCATCCTATATATAAAAATCATCATGCATATGAATATCATCTCCCTCCTTGGAGACATAGCTTGTGGGCTCAGGGGCTGGGCATTGGTGATGTGATGATGGAGACCAGAGATGCTAGGCCTGTGCTCAGTGGCCTGGTATCTCTGGCTGCTCATTTCTGTGCCTCAGTTTCTCTGTCTTTTCAGGGTGAATTTTAGTCACTTAGCCAAAAGGCTCCTGCAGGTGTTCCAGGAGGAACGTGTGCAGAAGTATCAGGCAGCTCTGGTCACGCATGGCAAGCGGATGAGGTAACAGGCCTTCCCCCAGTGCTCAGGGGCCCCAGTCTGGCCTGACCCCTTCCAGGCTCCAGACAACACTGGGCTTTGCAGAACCTGATGAAGAGGGAGGGGGAGAAGAAAGGCAAGGAAATGGTGGTTTTGGGGACCAGGCAGTCTGCTGGGTGATTTCTACAAATTAGCTCATTTAACCCCACAGTATCTCCCCCATGGAGTAGATATTATTCACAGGTGAAGAGACTGAGGCTCAGAGAACAGGTCTCTTCCTCCATGTGAAATAGCTAAGAAGTAGCAGACCCAGAGGTCTGTCTCCACAATCTGGACTTTTTTTCCTGTCCCAGCTGATTATACTGGGAAACCTCCTCTCTGGGGAAGGAACCAAGGCCCCTCTCATGTGAGGACATGCCGATGGATGGGCTTCTAATGGGGCAAAGAAGTAGGAGTGCGTAGTAGCCCTTAAACAGAGTCTTTTTTCACACTGTCCTCTTTAGGGCTTTAGGTTCTCCCTTCATGGACAAACCCCTCCCTCCTTTCCCTACATTAATATCGCCCCCCCCCCCCAGAAGAGACAGTCATTTCCATGTGTTCCCATGTGTTCTAAAGACCATGTGACCAGTGGTCTGTTATGGGCTGAGACCCTGGCATTCCCCACCCCTCACATTTGAATACCAGTGCTGGGCTCCCTCACCTCCCTCCCCGATTCATTGGTCTGGAGCAAGGCTTGGACATCTATTTTATAAGCCTTCTCCCCGCCCCATACACACACACCCAGGTGATCCTAGTGTGTAGCCAGGGTTGAGAACCAATCACTGGTTTAACCTCTCTGCACCCTGATATCCTCTGTGCAATGGGGAAAGTATTCTTGTTCACTTCTGTCACTAAGAGAAGAGCATTTATCACAGAGTCCTGACTGTGACTGACTCTGGAAATAGATAGTATGGGCAGTTCCTTGTATGACGTACCACAGGGTGGGGTGTCCTCTGCCTCTCTGAGCCTTACCTGGCACCTGGCTCATCATAATGAGCCAGTGTGACCTGGCCCCCGGCTCATTGTGACCTGGCCCCCGGCCCCTGCATCTTTGCAGCATTCCCCATTATGGTCCTAATGGGACCCTCACCAGCCTTAGTCAGAACGGCTCATCAGTGTTATTGAATTATGATGGGGTGAGTGCAAGTTGAGGACACAGCTGGAGGGACAGAGGAAGTGAGGAAGGCAAGTGGCTGGGGCCCAGCTGGTGTGGGTGGAGCTGCTCCAGCCTGAGTTGTTTGGAAATTCCACGTCTGTGTGGTGGCCCAGAGGATAGCTGGGGGGCCCCAAGAAGAGAGCCAAGTCCACCTCTTAGTTTCTCTCTCTGTCTGCTCTCTACAGGATGGTACATGAGACCAGGAACCACCTGCGTCTGGTTGGCTGCTCCGTGGCCGCCTGTAACACCGAAGCCCAAGGGGCCCAGGAGAGCCTCAGCAAGGTGCGGGCTCTGGAGGGCACCTGGCCTAGCGGGGAGCCAGGCCAATCAGGTGCCCGGGGCATTCGGGCCATTCCCCTGTCTCTGTGCACAGACCGAGTCTCCTTGACCAAGCGCAGGCTGCCGGTTGAGTGTCTCTGAGCCCACAAGTGCCCTACAGGTGGCGAGAGAGGCTGAATGGAAGGTGCTCCCTGAAAGAATGGGAGAACACAATGTGGTGCATGCATATAACAGAATATTTACTCAGTGTTAGACAAATGAATATTATAGCCCATGCTACAATATGGAGGAGCCTTGAGGATATTATGCTGAGGGAAATAATCTCAGGCTGAAGGTCACCACAAGGGCAGAGCACCTGGGGTGCTGAGACATCTTCCAAATGCTTCTGTGCAGTTTGGGAGGAAGACTCCAGAGCTATTCTGAGGGACATTGTGTGAACTCTCCTTCGTTCTTATCTGTCTCTGTAAGGAGAACACACCAGAAACTGCTTTGCCACCAGAAACATTGAAGGGCTGCTGCTTTCAGTACAACTGGCACTGTCTATTACTTATGTGTAATGAAACCAATGAAGTCCCTTGGTGGCACAAATTGTCAAGTGTTCGGTTGCTAACTGAAAGGTTGGTGGTTCGAACCCATCCAGAGGTGCATTTAAGAAATAGCACAACCTGGAAAACACTATGGAGCATGGTTCTTCTCTGACGCACGGAGGGTCACCACAAGCTGAAATCGACTCTAAGGCTACTGGCTTGTTTGGTTTAATGAAACAAATATGTCAGTGTTGGAAAAAGGCAGGGCCCCACCCCTTCTCCGTAGTCCATGGTTCTATTGTGTCATGAAAGGTTTAGGTTAGACATGAAGGAGAACATTTTGGATGTCTTGGTCCTTAAATCTAAGAAAAGATGAATGAAGGTAGTTATGCCAGCTGCACTCCCAGAATGGGAAGGAAAGCCTCGTGAGAAGACTTAAGAATTCAGGTAGAACCAAGGATGCAGGGTGGGGATCTTTGTTACCCTTTTCTTACCCTTCCTCAGCATCCCTACCCCCGCCCCCACCCCCAGCTGGCTTATCCCTTCTGACTAAGTTGTGGCTTCCCTCAGATCCTTGACCGGCTGTTTCACCAGCTCCTTCCAGACAGAACAGGGGAGGCTCAGTCCTCACCAGCCCCCATGGCTCCTTATCCCAGCTGTGAACCGAAAGACCTAGTTCTCCAGTAAGTGCCAAAAAGGTGTGTTTGTGTGTGTGTGTGTGTGTGTGTGTGTGTGTGTGGCGGCAGGAGATGAGGGAGAGGAGCATTGTGGAGAAGTGGGTGGGATCTCCCAGGGCAGTGTGGCCATAGCCTCAGCTGGCTCTTCTACCTTTGCCTTGAGCAGCATGCAGGAGCTTCACAAGGAGATGAAGCTGCTTGCGTTTGATCTTCAGGACAACAACCGTATCATTGAACGGTAAGGAGCTACTGCCCATCCAGGGAGGGCTGGGTCCTTCTGTGCCCCTTGCCCTGTGGAGTGCAGAGTCCCAGCACCACTCAGTCAGGTTTGATGATGTGTGTCCATTTTCCAAATGATGGTATCAGATATGCTTAGGATTTGTCCATAAGTGAGCTGTCACTCTTCAAATCAACTCCATGGCATCAGGTTTCGATTTAGTTTTTTGTTTTTTTTCAGTGTCTCCTCTCCTCCCCTCCCATCCCTAGTAACCAACAACAAAAGTTTCCTTCCATATATAAACCTTTCCTTGACTTTTTTTACAATAATGAACTGATATATATTTGTCCTTGAGTGATTGACTTATTTCACTCAGCAAAATGTCCTCCAAGTTCATCCACATTATGCAGTGTTTTGCAGATTCTACTTTATTCTTTAAGGTTGCATAGTATTCCATTGTGTGTATGTACCATAATTTGGTTATCCATTCTTCTGTTGACAGGCACCTAGGTTGTTTCCATCTTTTTGCTATTGTAAATAGTGCTGTGATGAACATGGGTGTGCATGTATCTGTTCTTGTCCTGGCTCACTCTTCCTTAGGATATAAACCTAGTAATGGGATTGCTGGGTCAAATGATACTTCTAATTCCAACTTTTTAAGAGATCACCATACTGCTTTCCACAGTGGTTGTATCATTTGACAGTCCCCCAAAAAATGTATGAGAGGCCCATCTCCTTATATCCTCACCAGCATTTGTTATTTTCTGTCTTGTTGAACTTTGCTGTTAGTGCTGGGGCCAGATGGTATCTCATTATTGTTTTGATTTGCATCTCGAGCTCTGGTGGCGTAGTGCCTAAGGCACTTGACTGCTAACCAGAAGGCTGGAGGTTCAAACCCACCAGCCACTCCTCAGAAGGAAGATGGGGCAATCTACTTCCGTAGGGATACTGCCTTGGAAACCCAAGGAGGGGTCACTATGAGTAGGGTCTGACATGACGGCACATAACAACAACAACAACAATGGCTGTTGGGAGGAGCTCTGGCAGCATAGTGCCTAAGGCACTTGACTGCTAACCAGAAGGCTGGAGGTTCAAACCCAACCAGCCACTCCTCGGAAGGAAGATTGGACAATCTACTTCCATGGTGATACTGCCTCGGAAACCCAAGGAGGGGTCACTATGAGTCAGGTCCAACTCCGACTCGATGGCAAACAACAACAACAACAATGGCTGTTGTAGGAGCTCTGGTAGCATAGTGCCTAAGGCACTTGACTGCTATTCTGGCCTTAACAAACAGGAGTTTATTCTTACAATTTGGAGGCTTTAAGTCTAAGTTCAAAGTGCCAGGCTCTAGGGGCTGGGGGAAAGCCCCTCAACCTTGGACTCTAGCTCTGCCTCCTACTCCTGGCCCACTAGAGCTAGAGGTGTTCCTTCACTCAGACAGCTGCAGGCTGCTGAAGCTGAGAAGCCCCAAGGTTGACAAGTAAAAAGGCACAGTCCCGATGTTACCGAACCACACGGCAGGCCATTAACTTAAGTCCACTGTAAGTCCCAAGGTCAGCAGAGCATGGCAGGCTGCTGAGCAACAACACAGCTACATGCAGGGTCCAAGTGTGCCATAGGCTAGAGACCATTCTCAAAGCTTCTCCTTATATACAGGAAGCAGACCACATACCCAAAGACAGCTACTCAGCTGCTCGCAGTAGATTCCACCATGGAGTTGATTACCAGTCTCATCATGGGGAATACTACATCCAGCTGCCCAGCCACTCAGCCAGGCCTAGCTAAGTTGACATACAAACATAACCATCACAGTGACTACTAACCAGAAGGCTGGTGGTTCAAACCCACAGCCACTCCTCAGAAGGAAGATGGGGCAATCTACTTCTGAGTGACACTGCCTCAGAAACCCAAGGAGGGGTCTCTATGAGTCAGGTCAGACTCAATGGCACATAACAACAACAACAACATAGCAACCCCTCCTTGGGTTTCTGAGGCAGTGTCACTCCGAAGTAGATTGTCCCATCTTCCTTCCGAGGAGTGGCTGGTGGGTTTGAACCTCTAGCCTTCTGGTTAGTAGTCAAGTGCCTTAGGCACTACACTTCCAGAGCTCCCCTCTAATGGCTAGTGATTGTGAAACTTCATGTGTTTGCTGGCTGCCTGAATATCCTCTTTGGTGAAGTGTCTCTTCATGTCTTCTGCTCATTTTTAAAGTGGATTGTTTATCTTTTTGTTGTTGAGGTGTTGGAGTTTTCTACAAGTTTTAGAGATAAGTCCCTTGTCAGATATGTCATTGCCAAATATTTTTTCCCAATCTGTAGGTTCTCTTTTTATTCTTTTAAAGAAATCTTTTGAAGCACATACGAATTTAATTTTTAGAAGGTCCCATTCATTTAGTTTATCTTCATCTGTTTGTGCATTTTGAGTTATGCTTAATAGTCTATTTATGCCATAAATTAGGGCTCTTAAATTTGCCCCTAGTTTTTCCTTGAGGGACTTTGTAGTTTTGGGTTTCACATTTAAGCCTTTGATCCATCTGGAGTTAGTTTTTGTGTATGGTGTGAGGTACAGATCTTGCTTCATTTTTCTGCAAATGGATATCCAGTTTTGCCAGAATCATTTGTTAAAGAGGCCATTTCTTTCCCATTTAATGGATTTCAGCCCTTGTTGAAACTCAGCTGACTGTAGGTTGATGGATCTATTTCTGGGTTCTCAATTCTGTTCCACTGCTCTGTGTGTCTGTTGTTGTACCATACCAGGCTGTTTTGACTACAGTGGCTGTATAGTAGGTTTTGAGATCTGGGAGTGTGGGACCTCCTGCTTTGTTCTTCTTCAATGATGCTTTGCTTATCCAAGGTCTCTTTCCTTTCCATATAAAATTGTCGTTGTTGTTATGTGCTGTTGAGTTGGCCCTGACTCACAGCAACCCCTCCTTGGGTTTCCAAGACAATATCACTACGGAAGTAGATTGCCCAACCTTCCTTCTAAGGAGTGGCTGGTGGGTTTGAACCACCAGCTTTCTGGTTAGCAGTCAAGTGCCTTAGACACTACGGTTTTTCTGTATCCTTAAAGAATGTTGATGGGTTGTGGATTGGGATTGCATTGAATGTATAGATTGCTTTGGTTAGAATTGACATGTTCACAATGTTCAATCTTCTAATCCACGAGCATGGTATGTTCTTCCATTTATGTAGCTCTCTTATGGTTTCTTTTCTTTTCTTTTTTTTTTTTTTTTAATTTTTTATTGTGAAAGATTACAGAGCAAATTCACTTTCCATACAGCAGTTCACATACATTTTGTCTTATGACGTTGACAGCAATTTCCAACAATGCATCAGCTCCCCTCCTACTTCCTCCCTATAGTTACCTCTTCCCTGTGTCCTTCCCTCCCATGTACTCCTGCTCCCCCAAGCTGTCACCCTGTACACACACAGCCCTTCTATTCTTCCATGATTGATCCCTCCAAGGAGTGTATCTACCTAATGTAAATGTTCAGCTCATATGCCTGTCTTTTGTTTGGCTGGAAGCCACAGGAGTGGATTCAATTCCAGACCTGAAGGGCAGCTACGGGCCATAGTCTCAGGGGTTCCACCAGA